ATATTTACGACTTTCATTCTCTAAAAACTTAATTTATTAAAAATAAAGCTTAAATAAATAATTAAAAATGTATTTTATTAGTTATTTACTTATTTATTTCATTAGAACGTTAAGATTATGATTTTTGATTCCTTGTCATTTATTCATTTTACCAATATTTAACACAGAGATTTTTTTCTCACTAAGTTAGGTATATAAATATATCAATAGTTATAAATAACAACCAACTTATGGCTTATTATTACTGTTTATGTATAGTAAGACTTACCAAGGAGTTCCTTCAACAGGTGTACTAGATACAGGTCTAGTTTTGTCTTGGACTTTCAGTTTTTCTAACACTTTAGGTTTTTCATCAGTTTTACTTTTTTTGTTAGACTCTTGAAGTTCTTCATCTTTTCTTTTAAATGATCCAATATCAGAATTTGAACCATTCATTAGTTTGAGAGGGAAACCCATGTCCATTTGAGAATCTGACTTCTGTTCCATTTTTTGTTCAGCTTCTTTTCTTAATTTAGCAGCAGCAACTTCTCTAGCAACTGAAATATACATTTATGTAAAATATGATATTACATAACATAAGATTGTTTGGTAAAATTATTACTCACTATCAAGATTTCTAAGTGCCTCAGGTTTTTCCCAAACCGATTCAGATGTTTTCATACTATAATAATACATTCTTCCATCAGGTGAACGATGTTCAGACCATTCAGCAGCATTAGCTAAAATAACTGGATCTATCTAATAAATTGAGATAAATAATTTAATACTTCAATCATTGATATGACCATAAATAATATTAAAATATCATACTTTGCTATTAAGTTCCATGCCAGGCATCATCATAGGCGGGGGTACAAATCCTGGAGGCATCATACCCCACGGAGCAGCTTGTGGAAATCCTGGTGGCGGCATACCAAAAGGTGGTGGTCCACCAAATGGCGGAAAATTTGGTGGAGGCATCATGGTATTAGGAGGCATCATACCAGGAGGAGGSCCCATCATTGGAGGCATTATTTGACCAGGAACTCCGCCTAACGGAGGTACTCCAACATTTGGAGGATGCATTAAAGAAACTTGTTCATTACCTAAATTAAATTGTCCATTATAATAACATCTWATTAAAATATGTTACACAAATAAAAAATAAAATATTTTTACTTTGTGATTTGTCATCTATATTTTTCATTTCAACATCATTAAGTGTTTGTTCACTTTCATTAGGTTTAACATAGTTATTGGCATTTGGATTTCCAAGATGTTCAACCTGAAAAATTATGAACATATTATTAATTACATTCTTACTTTATATTGTACATCTTTAAATTGAGATACCTGTTCTTGAGAAATAACAGTAATATTAGGCCCCGATGGTTTATCCCAAGTAGTTTCACGTGTTCTAGCATTATAATAATATGATTTTCCATCACCCGCTTTAGTTTCAATCCATACTTCTCCAGATATTATTGGTGGAGGTCCTTGTGGAACTCCACTATTAGGTGGCATTACAGGTGGCATCTATAAAATTTCAAAAGAAATAAAGATTAATCTAGAGATTTATGAATGAGTTTTATTTAATACAAATTAAAAGGATGTCAGCGCACTATTTGTTTTATCTTTTTGGCCTATGCGCAACATTGAAAAGACACAGAATCATTTTTTGTTTTGAAGTAATCTTAGAGTAAAATCAGTCATTACAAAAAAGATAAAGAATAATATTTTTAAAGGGATGACATATCAATAGACAACAATATATTTTATTATTATTTTATTTTGTATTCAACTTTCAAAATTAACAAAAAAACTTTATAAATTTAAATGATTTTTAAATTGTTTTGAGACAATAATAAGACAAATCGATATGTTATTCCTTCAAAAATATTATTTTCTGTCTTTTTGTTACGGATGATATTATTATAAATTTAAGATTACTTAAAAACATAAAAAAAAGGTGCTGTGTAAATGAATTTTGTGTAAGTTGCGTTTGGGCCAGAGCGAGCAAACAAATAGTGCTCTAACATCCTCTTAAATGTGTATGATAATGATTATAATCATCATATTTTAAAGTAAACCATACTTGTAATAATGAAGGCAACTGATTAGCAGGGGGACCTCCAGACTGACCATTTCTATCTTGTTCATTAAATGACGGTGCTTGACTATCTCCAAACTGTGGACCTCCTTGAGATATTGGAGGTGGACCATTCATCATATTTGGGGATGAATCTTGAGGAACGCCATTCCAATTATCATCTGCGCTTTCTGAGGACCATCTACTTCTTTGAGGTTTAAAACCTCCATTTGTGGGACTATTAAAACCATATGAACTACCACCTCGATAATTAGAAGATCCTTTAGGATTATTGTTACCAAATCCTCCAAATCTTCCAGTTTCATTACTTCCTTTGCCATTATTCCAATTAGACTCGCTTCTATACTCAGAAGATCCATAATTGTTATCAAATTGACCATTACCATCTCCAAATTCCCTATTAAAACACAAGTTATAAGAATACAAGATTATTATGTATATATAAATATAAGTTACAAATACCTGAAAGAACCTCTTCCGTTATCATCAAATGATTGTTCATTTTCAGAATTCGGATGTCCATTTTCTTCTTCATCATATGAATTATTCATTGACTCATGATTGTTAGAATTCATATTATCCTGTCGATTTGAGTTCATATTACTATCTTGATCATTAGAATCTACATTGTCATTTTCAAAAGAAGTCATACTATTTTGAGCATCATTAAATTCTTGCTGTGTTGAATCCACTATAGGATCCATCAAATTAGAATCGGCCATCTAACTATGAAGTAATAGAGTAAAAACTTGATATAATAGATATAAAATAGATTAAAAATATTTACAAAAAAAAAGTTTATTGTTGATAAAATAATTAGAATTGGTTGCAAGACTTGTAATAGTTACCTAATTATGTGATGATGTATAGATTGTGATTATACCTACATATTTTTTAGTTCGGAGGTACGTGCACATAGCAACGGTGGCAATAGCTGTAAAATTAGTCTGAAAGCAATTTTCTGGCACCACTGCAGTGTGGTTAGGAGACCTTTAAGAAACTTAATAGTTAAGTACAACAATGAAAAATCCTATCACTACTCTTTGATAGAAGAGATAAATAACATTGTAAATTACTTAAAATTGTTTTTTTTTTTTGCAAATTTCTTATGTGTATTACCAACAATAAGGAAACAAATGTTACCTTCATCTAGTAAGGAAATATATTTTAGTAAAAGTTTAAATAACAGAACTTACAGTAATTTTTTATTAGTTTTATTATGAAAACCTACACTATAAATCCTATGGAAATGATGGAATCGTAGAATTTTAGTGTTAATTTTTAATTTATTAATTTAAATAAATTAAGGTAACTTTATGTATGAATAAGATGGTTGATCTAGGTTTTGTTTTAGATTGAATAATGTTTCAATTCATACATTTAAAATTAATGATTTTAAGTAATTTACATCTACTAAATCTTTCTTGTATTCAATTGTTTGTTCAGTTTTGGAGTGGGGTATAGGARTCTAGAATTCTAAAACAAATACTGACTATTTTCAGCTAGATCGTCTCCATCAGAAATTTCTCAAATTGTATGTTATTGTTTTGAACATTGGATCTTGCTTTACATCATTGACTAAAAATCATTAACAGATATGAAATTTGAAAAAAATCTGATGAAATTTAATAAATTGTCTTGCCACTTTTTGCAACATTCACCATGGAATTTTCAATTACCATTTGTCTTACATATTGCCTCACATATCCTTTATATGAGATGAAGAAGTTGGCCTAACGAGACCTCATTATTTTTCACTTGATTTATTATTAATATAATAAGTGTTGTTAATATGTATTACAATTATTATATTATTTTAATGTCATTTTCTAACCATTTTTTTTTGTACTTTTTAAATTACTATCTAAATCTCAGTTGGTTTGTTTAGCTTACACAGATTTTTCCAATACATAAATGAATAAAGAATGAACCACAATTTCTTAATACGTTAGGCACTTTGACTTTTAATAACGCTACTTACAAATTAATTTAATTAAGATTTTTTTTAAGCTGTTGTTTGATATTATATAAAAATAAGTTCTTACTGATATCAATATTGATTTAACAACAATATTAAAAAATTAGATTTAAAAATACAAAGTAATTTATTTAATAACTTCATAGTATTTAATAAAATACATTACCTTTGGATGGAAACAGTCAATTGTACAATGGTGAAGTTGTTCTATGCGAATTCAGAAATCAACATTAACATGAAGTACACGTACTATGAAACACTCATTAAAAATACTAAGTCAATATAATCGTTAGAAACGCAACAAAAACCAACAAAAAGTAAAAAGCAAACAAAAATAATCAGTATAAATAAGTACCAAAAAACAATTTATTTTGTAGTGCAAGAACAGTAGAACCAAAGAACAAAATAACCATATAGGAAACTCTAAACAGTCGGAAGTCGAAACMTCGAAACTGATGGAAGTTGTAGACAGTTGTTGTACAGTGAACACAAACCTACGGACACGAGATACAGTCTAGGCACTTTCGGAAGACTGCCATCAAAATCGGAAAAAATGAACCCATCCCTTACCATTATATTTATCGAAAGCCTGTGAACGCCCAACGTCGGTGAAGGGGTAATACTGTAATCCCGGCCTGACCCCTACAAGCATTTAGCGTTATAGCATAAACAGTGTAGCAAACAGAATAATATTAAGATTTATTAATGTACAATTTTTATGTAGAATATAAATGTATAATCATGTATAATCATATTATTGTTCTATGGTATAATCATGCATTCCATGTTATCATAATTTTTTTTTAGAACTCACTGAACTTAGGTTATGTTTTTCAGATAAATAGTCAAATACTCAAATATACCAATACCAATGTTCAATAATTATTGTTTAAATTTTATTTGTAAAATGTTAAGTCAAAATTAAATTATTGTAATGGAGTAATGGACTACATATTAATATTTATATAGATTATAGATATAAATTAAAATTATAAAGAATTATTCCGTGACGGTGAACCTCATAATATCGTATGTTAATTTATATTGTCTAATTCATACGGTCGTATACTCGTATGTATAATATTATGGTCGTTCGCGAATAATTTACGCTCGTGCTTATAGTTTTTTACGAGGTTTTTTATCTATGTATTCAAACAAATCAAATTCGTAAATTGTGTACTAGATTTTAGAACAAGTTATATGGTATTTAGTTTTGAACATTCGATTTTTAAGTGTTATTATAAATTTGAATTGAAAGTTTAAACGTAATTACTTATATTTTGTTCGCATAGTCATTTTATACATTAAYAATGTATGACTCTATAAAAAAATTTGTTTCACGACACAAACGTAAATTAATAATCAGTGGTGCATTGTTTTGTAGTACTGCGTATGTAGTTTACACTTTAAAAAAAAAATTAGCAGAAAAAAAAGAAAAAGAAAGCCGGGAATATCTGGAACGAAGTAGACGTCAACAGCACTATGAAGCTACAGAAAACACTTCTAACCGTATGATAACTGAATTCGTTAAAAAACTTCATGTTAAATATTTTTCAAAAAATTTACGCATTGAAAATATTATTGATAAATTGAAGAAGCAAAATGATTTGGAACTTTGGGAAGAAATGAAAATATGTGTTTTTACTAGAGCATGCTTACTTGTTTATGCTGAGACTATGATGGTAATAACATTGAAAATTCAACTCAATCTCCTTGGAGGTCTTGTATACAAAAGTCTATCTCAAGATTCACCTCCTATTTGTTCAAAAACTCAAGAAGATTATTTGTTAAATTTTAGTTATTTCATTGAAAACGGTATTCGACGTCTAGAAGAATATTTACAAAGTAAAGTTATTAAGTATGTACAGCAAGTTCCTATCCAAGAACAGTACAATTTACAGGAATTAGAAAAACTATTTTTCCTCATACAAACTGAAATTGCTAGTGATACTGATAGTCCTTTTCGATGTATAGATTCATACATGTTAAACCAAATGCCACAAGTGCGAGAAGCACTATTACAAGACATGGTAAATGAAACTCGAGAACTATTAAAAAATGATGAGATCATTTCAATAGCTCGTTACTGCACATCTCATAGTTTTAGTAAATTAATGGATGCTATTACTGTAAATACGCCTAATCGTTCAGTAAATTTACCTACTACTGTGAAAATGCCATTTGCCAAGTGGTTACCAATTGTTGATAGATCAACCAAAGTGACGGAAAGTGGAGACTGCACTTTAAAACAAAATGTTCACTTGGATGGAAAAGTCAAAGTGCTTAGTGCAAATGTGTATGAGGCATTTTGCTCTGCTTAAATGTATTTAAAGGTTTTTTTTTAAATAGTATTTCATGAACTTGTTTTGTTTTGTCACTCATATAAGTTATGTATGGATATGTATTTTTTTTACTCAACTGATATTTAAATTCTAACAAATGTCAAATTTATTCAACCATGTATTTATATTTGGGAAAGTTGTGAAATTGTTTTAATCTAACAGCATTTATATATATATATTATATATATATAAATTATTTTGTAATATTGCCATATTTTATGAAATGTAATTAAGATCTATTCATCTGTAATGCATGATGTTATGCTGCATTAAAATCTTATTGAGTTTCACTCGGTGTTCCAAGAAATGTATAATGTGTTTWATTTCTTTAAGTATTAATTTTTTTTTAATCTAAAACAAGATAAGTTTTACTTGTAATATTACCATTTTATTTCTACCAGAAGACTGGGTGGGAATGGTTTAGCACAATACTGCTACTTGGTTCCCTAGTAAGTTGTAATATTATCTAGATTCATACTTGTATCTACTCATAGGTATATAATATATTAAGACAATTTAAATAATAAATTGATAACAATATTAATTTTAATAATCAACTAAAGCATGGTTGTAGCACAGAATAGATTAAATTTAATTTAATCTATTCTGTGGTTGTAGTTAGATCAATTGTTTAAATACCTAGATAATTCCATATACTAACCAATATCCATTTGCTAAAGTAATAACAGAGAATAAATTAATTTGTTTATTCATGGTAATAAATAAGATAGGTATACATAAATACCTATTTTTCATGTTTTTTTTTTTTTGTTAAATTAAAAATAATAAATATGTTTTAATAATATATGTCGATTAAGAGATATATTTATTATTAGCCAAGTGATAAAACTAAGTCAAAAATATTTATTTTATAATAGACTTACAATTTTTGTAAGAACTAGGTATCCCCATTACCCACAATAACTGTTGCTAGTAAATTTTAATTCAAAACATTTTTTAAGTATAAACATTGAATATTTTACAAACTTAACTAACACATTTCTACTAACACTTGCTAATTTATTTCCAAAAGCTGGGTATAAAGAGTTTAATAAAATATTATTAGGAATTGGAAATTATAGAAGCTGAAAAAATTGTAAAATATGTATCAAGATTCAAAAAAAAAAACCTTTTATGTTGCTATTAATTTTCTCTTAAAGAACTGTAAAATATGAAAGAATAAGTTTATTATCAAATATAGCAGACAACTGTTTTCCAATTTGACTTAATTTTATTTTTAAATTTGTACAAAAAGAAAAATATTTGAAAAAAATTGTACATCAGAATATTAGCGCAATATGGATTAAATACACATAACACAGTTTTTGTTAAATTAATAGGTCGGTAATTAATAAATTACAAAAAGCTTGATGAAGAAACAAATAAAGTAATATCACAGATTATATAAAACTAAAATAATTATATATTATATTATATAATTATATATTTTATATAATCTGTGGTAATATGTTGATGAAAATCATGTAATATACTAGTACACATTTTATATTTCACATTATCTTTTACTTTATATTAACAATAAAATGCCTATTATATTATTATGTTATTTGRAGTTTGAAATTTAAAATGGGATCTATAAATGTGTAGATAAATAGCACATTATAGTATGTACTTATTTACATCTCAAGTGTACAGCTAACCACTTACATAATTCATGTTCACTTCAAGTATATGCACCTATACACATATACCATTTAATACATATAATATTACAAATGAATATTTAATTTATTTTTTGTTGTAATTGTTGATCTAGATTTATAATAAAAAGCTGAGAAAAATAAATAAAATTTATATTTTATAAAATACTGATGTTGGTTAACTATTATATTAAGGTACCAGCGCTTATCGTTGCTATTGTTTAAAATCCAACCATGCAGCAAGTTAACTTCATTGAACTGAAACCTTTAAAGGGAAATGTCCACWTATGATATTACATTATTATAATATAATATCACGTCTGTTACTCAGAATACTCAATACATAAACGCCATAAACACACCCTGTATTAACGCATACGCGCCTATTCATGACATGTTTATAATTTTATAGTTCATACCTATTCTAAAGTTCTAGTATTCAGCTAGAATTTCGTTTAGTTTTAGTATATAATGGTACAGTGTTCAGACTYGTTTTATATGGAAGTTTCCAATTGAATAACGAATGATAGGTTGTTATAATGTTATTATTGTTCTGTATATATTCTATCATTATAAGTCAACGATTACATTCATTAAGCTTTAACAAACCAGTCATTGCTGTATTTGTATATTTTAAATACGTTAGATAAGTATTTTAATACATGCCTCATAATTTTATTACCCATGTCAATACTGTATCACTTACTCCTTAAGTCATATACTATATGATTTAAGGTTTATCTAAAGTAAAATACTAGGTAGTTATTTGTATCAATAAAAGTGTTCCTAGTTCGATATATATTATACTAATTTCATGGTTCAATGGTTGTAACTTATAACATATATAATATGTAAGTTTRTGTAACATATATTATTATAGGTAATGGGTAAATGGGTTTAATAATTTTAATGGTCTATGTTGTCTAAAAAGTAAAAATAAAAATTTAAATCTATGTTCTAAATCCTATACTCGACACTCGTACTCGACCTATGTCTCTGATTGATTACAATTCATTTTTTTTATTTTTATGAGTTATTTTGTAGTATCTTATGATTTTGAACTCCAATGCACACATACATTCTCCTTGATATTATTCAGTGTGAACGACAAGACAATATTTTTTATCTTCTATCAAAATGTAAGCATGTAGAAAAACTTTAAATTTATTATTTTGGGATATTCTTTATCAGAGAACAGAGTTCATTGTTCTCATCAAAGTTCAACTCATTAATGCTATTTAATTAGATTAGATTAGAAAAGCCATTAGATTTGATTATTGGAATTTAGAAGTTAAGTAATGGATAATTCAATCTCGATATAATTATATGGTGTCATTCCGGCCCACAACACCCAAAATGATACGGTATGTTTGACCCTGATTTCTAAATCTCTACGCAATTAATATTATTCTCTAGGTCAATGCCATGAAAATTGTTTTGATTCTGAAATATCTGATATATCTTGTATCATTTTGCTTACCAATGCCCTGGTGTGATATTTACTACCCTTTGCGTTGGTTAATATTTTTTTAATGATGCTTTTAGTAGTTTATCTTGATTTTTCGAATGACATTATTTATTGTGTTTAGCAATCATGAATAGAAAATTTTACTATGACAGCATCTTAACAATATTTGCAATTTTCCAAAACTGATATGGAGCTTAAAGTTTGGGTTGAAGGAATTCAACGAGTTGTGTGTGGTGTTACTGAATCAACAACTTGTCAAGTAAGTTGTTTGAGAAATTTTTATGGAATGTTTTTTCTATACCATTTTTGTCTCAGGATGTTGTGTATGCATTAGCTCATGCTACCGGAAAGACTGGCCGATTTACTCTGATAGAACGATGGCGTAATAATGAACGTCTACTTGCACCTCAAGATCATCCAGTAACCGTAGGTTTTCAACTCTTTAAATTTCAAAAGTATAATAATCTACAAATTGTTATCTAATGTGTTTGATTCATTGTTAGGTGCTCATGAAATGGGGAGAATATGCCAATGATGTACAGTTTATATTACAACGCTCAGGCAATGTCTCTTCAAATAGTACATCCAGTAATCCAAAGTATAATGAGGCTGATAGTGTTCCTTACTTTGCTCAAGAGAGGAATAAAGATACCCGGAAATCATTAATATTTAATAGTATGGATTCTATTTACTAATTTATGAACAATAATATTTTTCATGAAATTTGTAATATTTATTTTAAATACTTTGTTTCAACGTTTTATTTTTCTTCTTTGATTGCTGTGTGTGTAATTGGAATCATTATGTTATTTATATTTTCATACTCAGTTAATTTTAAGTGTATTCAATATTATTAGGTTTGATGAATTTTTGATATTTTTAGAAAACTCAATTTTTAGTTACCTAATAAACCCTTCTATAGTATTATATTGCTTACCTTTTATAGGAGAGGGGAGTTACTGCTCTTATTTCCAAAGTAAATTTTTAATACATTTAACAATTTAAAAATAATATTATAATTAAAAGATAGATTTTTATTTAAATATATTTAATTATATCTTACCCTATTGTCTCGGTAAGTATTAATATAAACTAAAGATGGTCTTAACAACAATCAAAGGTTAAAATAATAAAATCAATTGGTTTCTAAAATTAATAATTTTAAATGTTGGTATGTGATTTGATTTACCTTAGTAAATTCTGATTAAATTAATTTTACATTATTACTAATTCATAATAAATAATTATACGTTTTTGTTACAAAAGTAATTTTGATTCTTGAACCTATGGTAAATATATTTTTAAGGTAATCGGGTCCCCGATAATGTAGGTGTAGTACGTGGAATTCCTCAACAGAGACCCAATGTTCTTCCTACCGTACCTGGAAGTGGTGCAGCACCGTTAACAGTAGTTTCATCAACTCCGTCTGGTGTTCCTTTATCAACTTCACCAACTAATACTTCTAGTCATTTAAACAAAGTAATTTTATTATTTTACTTTCAAATTATATTTACTAATATAAATTATTATTATTATTACTTAAGGATCAGAATTCAACATCAACGAATGGACCATTGCAAAACTCTACAAGTCCGAACAAAAAGCTTGATAACCTTAGTTATCGGCCTCCTGTTACTAGGGTACTACCACCATATCGAGAACCACCTCCACCTTCTGTCAGCCCTGCAAGAATATCTCCCACAACTGTGGGTAGTGATCGTTTAAAACAAACAATTTTCAAGGTAATTCACTATATAATTTATACATTTTTTGATTTTATTTTATTTTGAATCTTTATGTCTTAATATTTCTTTACAGGAGTATCAGAATGAAAATAATAGCAATAGCACTAATGTCATGTATAACCCTCAGTATAAAGATCTCGTAAAGCTTATAAATTATCAAAGAGATAAGTTATCTATTCAACAAGCAGAATTGACAAAGTATGATGCAGAAATAATGTATTGGGAAGGTAAAACTAGAGAGCAACAACATCAAATGGATTTTATGACTCAGGAAGCAGCTAAAATTGAAGCCACTGGTAGACATACAGAAGAACAGGTATGGTTTAAATTAAATTAAAATAGATTCATAATAAATTATTAATTAAAAATGTATTTATTATTCTATGTATAAGTTGAGACTTTTAGGTCAAGTAGAAGAAGAAAATGATATTGTACGTCAGCAAGAAAAAACATTGAAATCAGAAATGACATTATTACGATCTAAATTGGCCAATTGTGAGACTGAATTACTTGTGTGTAAGAACAAAATACGTCTTTTGATGGAAGAAGTAGAACTGGAACAAAAAATGTTATCAAAAGATCTAGAAGAGAAACGTARAGCAGAAAGGGGTATTTTAAAGGAAGTTGACCGGCTACAAAGTGAAGTAGAAAGAGCCARGCAAGAAACAGAAATGGCAGCTCAAGTTGGAGATAGTCTTCGAAAAGAGGTATTTTAAACATTTAATGCACATATTGAATATTAAAATAATTAAAATACTTTTCATTTAAGGTTGCTTTATTAGAAACAACTATAACTGAAAAAAAAAGACAAGTTGATAA